CAGACACAGGCAGGCTTTGTCTTTTCCCACAGCACTCCAGGGAGGGGGCCTCCTTCTCCTACTGCGGCCTGTGTCCTCAGCCCAGCCACTGAGCCCGGGGATGGCAGACGCAGGCAGGCTTTGTACTATCGCGCAGCCCCCCAGGGAGGGAATCACTTTCTCCAACTGCGGACTTCTCCCTTGACCTACCCAGGTGCGTGAACAGGTAGCCGACCCCAGTGCAAAGAAAGCCCCTCAGTTAGAGATAGGATCCCTCTCAGTCTCAGTCTGAGGTCTTTCTCCTGTCCAGATACGGTCTTGCACTTCCCTAGCCGCTTTTTGTTTCCTTTGTTTTTCTGCAGAAGGGGGTCTCTCACCTCCGTGCCCACACAGCCCTTTTTATCTCCCCCAGTTCGCAATCACCCACCTATCTTTTCTCCAGTTTTCCTATTTTCTTCCTGGTAGATTCAGTTTCTTTTCCTCCCAGGCTCTGGGGTTCAAAGTCCTCTGGCTTCTGCACTTCTTTCTTTGAGAGACACGGGAAGTATGGATCCCCCTACTTCTCCCCTTGTATTTATTTTTGATCATTATCACTGGCAGACATTATTTGTCCATTTGTTTGGATATAACCACCACCAGTCGACTTGCTTCCACTCACCCTCTCCCAACCCCTGTGCTTATACATGCATGCACACACACATTACACATTTGCTCTAATAGGGCAGCCGTTTTATTTTGTTTCTTGCCAAAACCCACTGCCTAAAACAGTGCCTGGCACATAGTAGAGCTCAAGAAATATTTGCTGAATGACTATGAATAAACATTTTGATATTTTATGTAAGCAGGATGGTACAGGATACTAGAGCCAGAATTCCCAAATTTGTAACCCCACTGTGCCCCTCACTAGCTGCATGTGACATGGACAAGGTATTTAACTAGACTTTGTAGTTTTTCTTTATAAAATGAGGATAATATTACCTGCCTCCTAGTGTTACAAGGTTAACATGAGTCATTGAATCTAAGGTGGTTGGAGCACTGCCTAGTGGTTTTTATTTTTAATATCATCTCCATCTGTCTGTTCTTTGATCTATCTTAGGTAGTTCCAGATGTGGAAGTGTTAAAAAAGGAATTTCATTGCCTGTTCCCCAAGTTCTACCTGTAACTTTAAAAATGAACATAATAGGGGCGCCTGGGTGGCGCAGTGGGTAAGCGTCCGACTTCAGCCAGGTCACGATCTCGCGATTCGCGGTCCAGTTCGAGCGAGCCCCAGCAAGCCGGCTCTGGGCTGATGGCTCTCAGAGCCTGGAGCCTGTTCCGATTCTGTGTCTCCCTCTCTGCCTCCCCCGTTCATGCTCTGTCTCTCTGTCCCAAAATAAATTAAAAAACGGAGAAAAAAAATTAAAAAAAAAAAAGAACATAACTGAGGAAAAAAAATAAAAATTAAAATGAACATAATTGAGAAGTGCAATAATTAAGAGCACCTTCCATTTTAGCACATTTTTCTGGCTTAGTATAAAACTACCACTGAAGAATTTATCTTTATAAATTTGTAATTTTTTATATGTAAAGTAAATGGCTACTCAAATTATTTTATGACTTTTGCTGAATTTCTCATCAGAAATAGTTCAGTGTAAATTGTTAGTCAATAAAAGCAATTCCTTAATACAGACATTCACAGAAATTTTCCTCTACAATTGTATTTTGTCCTAAAATAAAGAATTTTCTGAGCTGTTTAGATGTTTGCTTTGGGATAGATTGCTGTTAAATACAGATTATTAGCAGTCACCTTCATAGTTTAGAAAAAACTGAATGCAACTCAAAATCAACCTTGCAAAAACAAAATGCTGTATTTTTTAGGGGATAAGAGTGATGGTGCAGTGTATACTATATAACTGATTCTTTTTTCTAGTTAGGTCTTTTGTCTTTAATGGATACCTTAGAATTTTAGGTAATTTTTTTTCTCCATTGTTGGAGATATTTGACATAATATTTGAAGTATAATTGATTTTGGATTGGAGAGCAAATTATGCAGTATAACCCCCATTCATTCTCCCTCTTTTCTGTTTCATTATATATAAGAGTTTTTACCTTATTACTATTAAAAAAAATTTTTTTTAATATTTATTTATTTTTGAGAGGGAGACAGAGAATGTGAGCAGAGGAAGGGCAGAGAGAGGGAGATACAGAATCCGAAGCAGGCTCCAAGCTCTGAGCTGTCAGCACAGAGCCTGATGCGGGGCTCGAACTCACGAACTGTGAGATCATGACCCAGGCTGTGGTTGGACACTTAACTGACTTAGCCACCCAGGCACCCCATGCCTTATTACTATTTGAAATAGAATGTGATTCTTATATAGATGAGCAGTAAGGAATCATTTGCATTACTTATATGAGTTTTTCTTTTAATTTAATGTAAATTGATTTTGTAATATTTATACTACAAGTAATACAGGGAATATATACTTCATTTTATGCTGATTAGGTGGTCCAACTACAGGAATGGATGATTAAAGTCATCAATAATAATACTGCTATATGTGTAGAAGGAAAATTGACGTAAGTATAACATTTCAATATTCTTATAAAATGTATAACAAAATAAGATACTCATGTATAAGAGCTTAAAGGAGATTGATGGAAAATAGCATCCTCCTACAAAACAAAAGACTTTCTAACAAGGTTACAGACTGAAGACAGGAAAGTAAAATGACTATGCAGTACCTGACCATGTTGATTGTGAACAGCTTTCTTGGTTTTGCCTGTTAAGTTACTTTTAGAATAGTAACAGCTCAAATTTATATACACAGAGCTTTATTTTTTTTTCAGAGGTTCTAATAAGTGGACTGGTATTCTCTGCTTAATTATATATAGTTAGCTAATATTTACTACATGCATTTCAGTTCAGATTCTCACATGTAAATTGGGACAACCAGATTTAAATTACTGATCCAGAAAAGGAATCAGAATTATTTAAAACTTTGCCATACAGCTACATATTAGGTAATCATTGGCACTTTCTGGTTCTCCCTAAAGCAAAAGTATCATCAGGTAAGTGGGCTTTGCCTAATTCTGCTACTCTCTTATCACCATTTCCTTTTTTTCGAAACCAATTTCTTAGTGGTACAATATTTGTAATAAAAGGTTGTAATAAAATAATACAGGATATTACTGGTCAGGGTACTTACCTAGAAGTTTGTAAGTTGATTATTTAAAATCTGCCTTCCACACTCTATTTCTGCTTGTCTTATGCCCATTTTCTTAATATCAAAGAGACAGTCTATGTTGCCTTTGTTGGAATCCCGGTTGCTGCTATCTTCCAAGCTATATGACCTGGACAAGTTACTTATCCTTTTTCAGTTTCAGTCTCTTTCTCTGCGCAGTGGTGATAATAATATTACCCATTCTTGTGTTATTTTGAGTATTAAATTAATATTTGCAAGACTTGAAAACAGTGCTTTTAGAGTGCTATTTAAAAATTTTTTTTTTTTCAACGTTTATTTATTTTTGGGACAGAGAGAGACAGAGCATGAATGGGGGAGGGGCAGAGAGAGAGGGAGACACAGAATCGGAAACAGGCTCCAGGCTCTGAGCCATCAGCCCAGAGCCTGACGCGGGGCTCGAACTCACGGACCGCGAGATCGTGACCTGGCTGAAGTCGGACGCTTAACCGACTGTGCCACCCAGGCGCCCCTAGAGTGCTATTTAAATGTTAGTTAAATAAAATACAAAGGAACAAGATCACTGTATTAAAATAGTAGGAGTTTAACCCCATTTGACCAAATGAAAGGAACTTCACTGTCATATTATGCTTGTATTTAGTATGTTTATCTGATGAATTGGGAATGTTCAACATCTATCTAATACATCTTAAAGTTTTGTTCTTTCTGTTTTATATTCTTAGCATCATTTAAGGAAATAAGAAGAGTAGATTTATGGGTTAGTGATTTGATTCTGCAGTTTGTTTTTTTCCCAACTGGAACCTCTTTTTGGTACTTTTTAAAGAGGAAGGTAAAAACACTTGGCTGTGTAGTGAGGGTAAAAAAAACCCCGCAAGATTAGAGGGATCCAAACTATATAACTGCATGAAATCTAACAATAGTATAGGCTCTCAGGAGAGGGACAGGAAAATCATTCTTTGGAAAGTTGGCATCAGTTAAGATGAAGTTGCAGGCATTGTCAGCATCAGTTATTTAGAGAAGGCCCCTGCTTCCTTGATGAGGATAAATTTTATATTAGTGGTTTGGTTTGGCCACAGTACAGTTTGGCACATATTCTGAGGATCACATTAGCAAAGCATTTGAGTTCTGCAATGTTTAGCCCTCAGATGTTTTGTAATTAGATGAATAACACTGCTAATGTAGCTGGAGTGCAAATTTATTACTTTCTATTATAATTTGTATACTTATATATGTACATTGTGATTATTGGTAAAATGTGAATATTTTGGCCTTAACTACGCTATTTTCTCCTAGAGACATCACTAACATATATTGGCACAGTAATGTAATTATAGAACGGATTAAGCACAACAAACTTAAGACTTTATCAGGCAACATTTATATATTAAAAGGGATGATAGACCGGATTTCCATGAAAGAAGCAGGTAATGACTGACATTATTAGTTGATAAATTACTTTCAGTGAAGCAGTTAACCATATTTCTAACTGATATATATGTTTTTACTCTTAATTAGTTGTTTTAAAATGATGAATCAATCAAAACTAAGTTTTAAAACAGAATTGACCACATTATGTAAAACTATTATATGTGTTGGTCATTTTTCCTTGATTTAATCACCCTTGTTGACAGTTTGAGTCAGTCTAGTGATTTTAAAAAGTTCATGTGAGATATTATAAGGCTATAATTTAACTAGTTTATTGAACCTGCCCAGTACAACCCCATTCCTGGTATAATCTAATTTTCTGTCTATGCCTTGAACACGGTAATGTGGCTGAAGAAAAACACACCTGAGCATTCTACTTTAAGATGGTGATTACCAGCAAAAATTGTGGTCTCTTAGTGCCATTTGGTGTCCTACCACATTTCCCTAATGCATTCACTCTCCCATCCTCCTTAGTGACTACTGCATATTTTTACAAATTTTCAATACCTCCTTTCTCCCACTCACAGGGGAGGTGGCAGGGAGGGGAGCACCTTAGCAATAGAAACAATCAGAAGAGAACTTCACCATCACCTAACTGACCTGCTTGCATCTATATCTGTTTTTGTTATGAATGAACTGTTCATGTTCTGTCTTTGTCAGCCTCTCCATTTGTACTCTATTTCTCATTTTTTCTCTTACTCAAGGGTATCGCTCTAGTAATTCTCCCTTCTCCTGTCAAAACAAAAACAAACAAAAAAAATTCTTTTAACTCCACTTATTTCAGCCACTGTTTGCTCTTATTTACAGCAAAACAACTCAGAAGATTTGTTATATCTAATTCCTTGAATTCTTTCCCACTTTTAAAAAATTCTCTTTAATCATGCCTTAAACCCCAAATCTTTACCAAACAGCCCTTATCACAGTTACCAGTGGCCCCCACATTGTTAAATCCAATATATGTTTACTGCACTCAATCACACTTACCCCCTTTTAATTCCTTATTTGCCTTCTGGAACAGCATATTCCAATTTTCATGCCACCTCACTTCCTGTTCCTTCTTAGTTTATTTGCTTATTTTGCTCTTTCTTCTTTGCCTCTGAATAATAGGATAGACTAAAGCTCTTTCCACACTCAGTGCTGTGTTGATTTCTTTTAGGCTTTAAATTTCATCTATATGATGACAAATGCCAAATTTATGTCTCTTACCAAAAATACTCCTCAAGCCACCCAACTCATTTTCCATCTGCCCATTTGACATCTCCACTAGGATATCTACAGGCATCTCAAACTTCATGTGTCTAAAACCTGATCTCCCTGAAATCTGTTTAATGGTCTTCCCCCTTTCTTTGTTTCCAGTGGCTAGCCAGAATCCTTGGAGACATCTTAAATCCTGTTTCTCTCACACCCACATCTAGTGGGTAGGTACATCCTATTGGCATTATCTCCAAAAATATATCCAGAACCCAGGCCTCTGCTGACCTCTATGGTATATACATCTCCCTTATCTTTTGTCTGAATGATTACAAAATCCTAACTGGTCTCGTTATTTCTTCACTTTTACTTCCACAGACTTCTCAAAATAGCAGCTAATACAGTCCTGTTAAAGTGAGTCAAATCCTGTGGCTCCTCTGCTCACAATCTTTATATAGCTTCCCATTTCACCCAAAGTCAAAGACTAGGTCATGAAGTAACCACAAGGCCTTATAATCTTTCATGTTCCTCCACTGTTCCTATTCCCTTCTGAAGAGCCTCCTAGTACTAGCCTTTCTTCACTCTGCTCCATCTGCACTAATTTTTACAGACAGGCCAGGCACACACTTACCATAGCCTTTTGCTTTGTCCCTTTTGCTTCCAGTGTTTTAATCCCATATTAAACTCACTACCTCATGTCCTTCAGAGCTTTACTCAAATGATGCTATTTCAGTAAGAACCTCTCTGTCTTTTAAAAGTGCAATCTGCTTCCCTTTCCTCCCTCAGCATAAATACACTAATACTCCTTGACCCATTAAGTGCATAATTTTTCTCCATAGCATTGATGACCATCTAACAAAAAAAATGTATGTTTATTGGTTTGCTTTCTGTTTGACATGAAAAGGCAGGTTCCATGAAGGCAGGGATTTTTGTTTCATTTTGTTGACTGATGAATCCTTAGTATTTGTGGCTGTGCCTGGCGCACAGTTAGCAATAAGTGTATATATTTTTAATGACTTAGTGAACCAATTACATGTCTTTAAAATTTTTGGCTTTTAGGTAATTTTTTGTTTGTTTTTTGTTGACTAGGATATCCAAATTATCTCATAAGGAAGTTTATGTTTGGCTTTCCAGAAAAGTGGAAAGAGCATATTGATAATTTTCTAGAACAATTAAGGTAAAGTACTCCTTAACTTTTTAAAAACTAACTTTATTGAGGTATAATTTGCATTTGATAAAATGTGCCCATTTTGGGTATAAAATTGGAGGTTTTACAAATGTATCTTTTCATGTAACCAATGTAAATTGGTTTTCTTTTTTTTTTTCTGCAAATGACAGTTTTGAAGTAGTTCTCTTGATCTTGGATTTTTAGAAAGCAATAGTTTACTAGAATTTCTGTCATATGAAATAAATGTAAAAGGAAAATAACAGTGTTGACATTTCAGGAAGCATCCTCATTCACCCACCCTTTGAGAGGCTGTACCTATTAAACATGAGTGTAAAGTTCTTGGTCCTTTTTCTTTCATTCATTCCTTCAGAAGTTAATATCAGTTGTTTAGCACACACTGTATTGGCACAGGGAAAGCGAAGAAAATTTGATTAATTCTTGCCCTTAAGGAACTCATAGGGGATACTGTGATACAAGTTAATTAATCATAGTACAATATAATAACTTAGAATGGGGGGAACAGTTTTTTCCTGTAAAGAGCCAGATTGGAAGTGTTTTTATGGGCATGCTGCCTCTATTGCAACTGTTCAACTCTGCCTTTGTAGCAGAAGAGCAGCCATAGACAGTAGTTGAATGAATGTGGTGGTTTGGATGAATGTGGTGAAACAAATAAAATTTATTTCCAAAAATAGATAATGGCAGGATTTGTCCTGTGATTTTTTTACAGGATTAGCTTAAGTAGAGATGTAAGAGTACATAGAGTAGGAAGCACTTGGGTTTTATTTGATTCTTTTGACTTAAGACTTTATACTTAAGTTCTTTGTGGGAGAAAGGGTAGAATCATGAAGACTTAAATAATGTAAGATTTAAGGTAATCTTTGCTGGGCGCATAAAACTTTATCTGAGGGACTTTATTTAAATTTAGTTTTTTTGTTTTAGTTTTTTGAGATAAAAATTAAAGGAAAAATATTACACTTGTGTTTTAGGGCTTGTGAAAAGAAAGAGAGAAAGACCAGACAAAAACAGAAAACTGGAAAATTTATCCCTGACGTACAAAAATCAGCGAAAAATAATGCAAGAGAAAACCAAACAGATGTTCTGCAAAGAGCCAGCACCACTTATGACGTTGATTGTTGTCATTTGGGTATGTCTCTTCTTTTCTGCTGATATAGTGGCAAATTCTTACGTGAGCTCCATATTTATCTGTTTATAGTTTATATTGTATTCAGTTTTTGACTTGTACTGCCTTGAAATTATTTTCTAATACTTAAAAAACTGTAGTGCAGTCTGCTCATAGTCAGCATTCAGCTTTTTTTTTTTTTTTTTTAAAGAGAAGGAGAGAGCACATGTGCCTGAAATGGGGAGAGGGGCAGAGTGAGGGAGAGAGAAAATAGTAAGCAGGCTCCACGCTCAGCAAAAAGCCCAACACAGGTCTCGGTCCCACAAACCATGAGATCATGACCTGAGCTGAAATCAAGAGTTGAACGCTCAACCAACTGAGCCCACCCCAGGCGCCTGGATTTTTCTTTTCTTTTTTTTTTTTTTTGAATGTCCATTACTATAAAGGTAGCTGGCAGAACTTTTTTGTGTTCACTCTTTGCCAAAACTATAATCTGACTAACATCCCATCGCACCCTCCCTGCTGGAAAAAAGTATGAACATTAACCTACAGCCCTTGCTAGATAATATTTTTGAAAGTGAATTCTTTAATATGGAAAGGCAGCTTATATATAATAATTTATTGAAATCTCCATCTTTGTACTCATAGAACTGAAAAATGGTAAGCGCAGGAGGTTGCCAGCAGCCCCAGAATTAAACGTGTGCCCTGATAATTGCCAAAATGAACCACGATTAAGGCTCTCAGATGACCAAATGCATAATACTTGTCAAAATGGAGGAGAAAATGACTTAACTAATCAGGTAAACTTTTACTATACCCTATGATACGAAGAGTGATGGTGTGATGCTACTAAAAAGTTTTGGGACCAAATCAGAAATCATTTTGTTTGTTAAGTATCTGTTTGTTAAGTATCAGTTTGGCAATGTCTTGCTTGATATTTATTTTCTCAGTGTCTCATTGGGAAACTGTAATCAGTAATAACAGAAAGGTTAGCTCTTAGAGTTAGGGTTAAAGTGTGTGTGTGTGTTTGCACCTAACAAATCACATGTATTAAATTTATAAAAGAAATATCTAAGATAGTGGATGCCCACATGGTTCTTCCAAAGCTCAGGCTCTGGCAAATGAGTTTCTAAATACCTCCACTATTGAAATTTGTAGAACGGCAAGTACCTAGATACTTGTATGCTTGATACATACTGTGAAAATGCTTGAGGTCATGTTTATAGATAGTAGTTGTTAAAAAGCTAACTTTTTGTTTTGAAGGAAATAATTGGAAAGAAAGCATACAAAAAGTTGTCTTCAAAGAAACTTGAAAATTGTGAAAGAACAAATGAAAGGATAATTAAAAGTCAGAAGCAAGGTGATATATCTTTATTGGTTTTATAATAAGCATACAGCTCTTATCTGAAATGTTTTTAATATAATAAAAGTGATGTCTTAAATTTCCAAATCTAAAAATGGCAAACTAAGTATTACAGTCATTATAAATGTCTGGGGATTTTTTATTGTTTTGTTGTTTTTTTTTTTGAGAATTACTTTTTTTTTCTTTAAAGCATAATTAACATAGTGTTACTAGTTTCAGATGTACAATAGGGTTTTGCTTTTCTATACAGCATGATTTGCTGTAAAATCCATTACATTAGTAAAAAAATCCATTACATTACATACCATACGTATTTACTTGTAGGTTTGCTCCCTTAATCTTGGCACTAAATAATTTTTATTATTTATTTATTTATCTATTTAATTTTTTTTTTTAATTTTTTTTCTAACGCTTATTTATTTCAGAGAGAGAGTAGAGCATGAACGGGGAGGGGCAGAGAGGAGAGGGAGACACAGAATCGAACAGGTCTGCCCTGAGCCATCAGCCCAGAGCCCGGACAAGGCTGAATCCCACGGACCGCAAGATCGTGACCTGGCTGAAGTCGGACGCTTAACCGACTGCGCCACCCAGGCGCCCCGTATCTATTTAATTATTTAAACTGTATGTCCAACATGGGCTTAAACTCATGACCCCAAGATCAAGACTCACATGCTCTACCAACTGAGCCAGCCAGGCTTCCCTAATTTTTTTGTTAAAAACAGAATTGTATATCATTTTAAATATGCTTTTTGGAATGTTTAAAGGCTATGAATCTTTTTATGAAATTAATGCCATAGTTTAGCTATGTGTGAGTGTGGATTTCCAGTATGATTTCATTGAAATCCTATATGACAGATTTAAAGAACCTTTTCTTGACACATTAGCAAGTTTGAAATTTCATATTGAGTTAAATCCATCAGCTTAGTAGAAATTTTTTTGTATTTCTTCTTATAAGTGGAAAGTAGTGAAAGTGAAGAACATTTATAAGTGTTTAAAAGAAGTAGAGAGGAAGGCAATACTGTTTAGACTGTCAGGATCATGTAACTTAGATTAAAGTATCCAGAATAGCTTGAATCTTCATTCAAATTATTTAATAAAATGAATAAAAATATTTTAAAAGTGATTTGTTCAAAATTAGAAATTTCAAAATTTTCAAATTTCCTGTTAAACATTTGAGTCAGATTTATATGAGGAATTAAAAGAAAACACTTCCTTCACAAAGATAGATAATTCCATTGAGAAATCTTATAGAAACTTTGCTTACCTTTTATCAGTACCACTTTTCCATGAATTATAATTTAGTGGCTTCTTTTCTCCCCAGCATTCAACATTACTCATCAGTCTTTAATTTTATCATTCATCTTGTAAAGTGGTACGTAACATGTGTAGGTCATTGAACTATTTAACTAGGATGGTTGCTGTGACAATTTATAATTTGTATATATTTATAATTGTAATTGGATAATTTACAATTAGAAATTAAATTAGTTTGGCTTCTGGTTTCTTAAGTTTCAAATTAGAGAATTTCTCTCATTTTAATTTGCTTTCTTTAGTGACACAGTATAATAAAGATTCTCAATTTCTGGTTTGCTTGTTATCCATGATACTTCATGGAGTTTGGGTGAATCAGCAGAAATGTCTTTCCACGGCCACCACTGGGGATGAGAATAGGGCCATACCTATCGAGTTCCATATTCCCCTAATTAGGATAGCTTCCATTCCGTATATTACATACCTAGCAAGGTTTTGCAACCTTACTGGTTTTCTTATGTCACCTAAATAAGATTTAACAAATACTGATTTATCATTTACTGTACATGTGAAAGACTCTGTACTAACTGCGGAAAAAAAAAAAAAAGAAAAGAAAAAAAGATTCCAAAAGCAAAAACAAAATTCATACCATTAAGGATTTTTTTTTTTCAGTCTACTTCAAAGACAAATTTGTTAAGTATACTGCAAGGCACATTGTCAAACATGGCATTATTTAAAAGTATTCTGGAAATTTGAAGGAGAGTTTTCATTCAATTGAGAGAATCACAATAAAGTTTGTGGATTAGGTGGGTTATAGAATGGAATTGAAGCAGGTAGTGATTTGGTTTTTGAGTGAAGAAAACTTTCCATGTAGAATGATATTAGTGAAAAGTTGAGAATCAGGAAAACCGTGGTGTAGTAGACATAGAATTTGGTTCACATTTGAGTACAGTGAGAGATTAGAACTACACTGAAGGCCAGACAGAGGAGCTTATATGTACACTAAGTAGACTTTAAGAAGTCAAGGACCGGTTGGTATAAAAAATATGTTTACAATCGAAGGGGCAGTAATCTGAATCAACCGGTGCTTCTGAAAAACTAATAATGGCAGTAGTGTGTACAATGGAGTTTATGGAGAAAAAATATATATATTTTATTTTAGAAAAAAAAATTCTGTGCTTTGTAGCTAATTTGAGATTTTGATCTTTGGTTTTGTCTTATGAAATTAAAGAGAGAACTGAAGAATCGAATGTATCCATTGACATTCTGACCTTAAGGCAACCGTTTTTCTTGGACGAAGAAAGAAAATGTATGGCTCTTAATCCGAAGAAAGCTTATATTTTAATGACACCACTTAAATCTAAAAAAGTGATAGAACAAAAATGCATGAAGTATAATCTCTCTTATAGCACCATTAAAGCAGTTACAGATTTTGCAGTGCCAAAGCATCAAAAAGAAAGTAAATCAGACTTAAATGAAACTACCAGTTTGATCAGTAAGCCCACAAAAACCTTCAAAAATGCATTTGAGTTTAGTGAGGGCCATGAAAGTAAAAACAAGGAAGACTGCAGTGCATGTGATTTACTCACTGTCAACCAGAAAATCAAAATATCTAGTCCTAAAAAAGAACAAATGGTCACCTCTGACTTTAAGAAAAATGCAAGGTTGTTACCAAAATTGAAGAAAATAAAAAATGTGTCTATGTCATTTTACAAGCAGCAGTCCTCATCAGATTTGTCTAGTGAAGAGAGTGAAACAGAAAAGGGAATTAGAAGGAAAGCTGCAGTTGCTAAGAAAAATACAGCAAGAAATACTGAAGAAACAGTGGTTCACCTGAGGAAAAGCACAAGAAACACCACAAGGAAAATCCCAGTGATTTCTGAATCTGAAACTGAAGAAAGTGAAAGTGAATTTTATATCAAACAAAAGAAAGCTAGATGTTCTGCTAAAGAAAATCTTCAGAAGTCTGGTATTAGGAATGAGTTTCCAGTTATTGAGGCGATCAGATCTGATGAGACAAACAGGCATCCCTTTGAATGTTTTCCTGGTTTAATTCAGGATGAGGAATGGAATGAGAAGGAATTACGGAAACTTCATTGGTAAGTAGTTAGATTTGACTCTGAAATATCTAGAGTGGCCACACAACAGTTGAAGACCTAAATATTCCAATAAAGGGCTGATTTAGTGACCCCTAATCATTAAAATGGAAAATATCCAAAAACACATGGAGAGAAATAACAATTTATACAAAGAATATAGGGAGAATACAGATAAAACTTCTAACTAGGTACTTTGTGGCCATCTCTACAACTTGCATATGAGCAAAGGAAAAGTTAACCTTCTTTTCTTTCCATTTAATATTTCAAGACAACTCCCCTCCCCCTCAAGAAAAGGGTAACTGTGTGGGGGATGGATGTGTCATTTATCTTGATTGTGGTGATCATTTCCCCATGAAATGTATATAAAGTGATCCCATGTACACTGTATACAGTATGATTTATTTGCCACTTATACCTCAGGGTGTGGAAAATATTTTAACATAGACAAATGCTGCTCTCCCAGATCTTCATATTTTAAGAAATATTTTATTGTTATTTTTTCTGTTTTAAAACCTTAAAGCTGAATTCAGACCTGCAGATTATTTAAGATGCTCTTTTCCCTGCATTTATAGAATAGAAATAGCCTCAAAAATTAGGTGATCCATCCAAGGTTTCATGGTTAGTGCTAGTAATAAACCAAGTATGACAAGAATTGGATTTGGCTGCATAGCCTTGACAAGCAGTTTGAGTAGTGCAGTAGCACTGGACGCTAAAACATAGCTGAGCAATGAAGAGTGAGTGAAAGAGTAAAAACAACCTAGGTGGACAACACAAGAAATTGGCAGTGATAGGGGACAACAAAATGGATAGGTAATAGAAGAATGTGAAGGTAAGGGAAGACCTATGTTTGATTGCTTGTTTGTAAGAGGACTCATGCCAGAGTATGGTGGTGTGTTGATGGAAATGATCTAGTAGAAAGGAAGATGTGATTGATCAGAGTGAAGAGCATAGAAACATACTACATTCAGTGATTCACTTGCTTGAGTACTCCCTAACCTTATATTTGGAATTTATTTTCAGATCTACCTTCTTGAAACACTATTCCTCAGGCATCTCTGTGCCACTACGCTCCTTTTTTAATTTCTTAAGTGTTCCTTCTCTGTCTTATTTTCAGGTAGTTAAGATAATTTTCCTTCTTCTCCATAGTTCTTGTTTTTGGATGCTTTCTTCCTATTATAATGTAGTCTTCAATGGTCTTTTCCTTCTATAGTTCTAACTTTACTCTTTGGACAGGGATTCCCAAATCTGTATCTCTAGTTCTAAATTCTTATATTTAGATTTTTATTTCCCTTTGCCTGTTGGACATCTCTCTATAAATCTCATTTACAGAGATTCTCACTTAATATGTTAAAAACTAAACATTTTTTCCCTGCCTATCTACTTTGTCTGACATTCCTGATTCTGAAAATGGAATTCTTTCAGTCAACTAGGTTTAACTCCTTGATCATTATTGATAACCTCAGGTAGCCTCTGTCCCCCTGGCCCACTCCTGGGGATGAGGGGGTTACCCCTTCCCAGTGTTTTTTATTC